GAAGCCAGAGAGATTCTGGTAGGGACCATTGACAACTATTTTCTCCTGAGGACCACACTCCTTCTCCTCCCTTCAACAACAATCACCTTTCACTAGGCTCCACCTCTTAATGATTCTGCCACCCCAGTGCTCCTCCACAGGGACCAACTTCCAGCACGACTCTTTGAAGGACATACTCCCACTATATCCAAACCTTAACAGGGATTAAGTTTAAAATGATGGTATCATTTTTAATGTGTAAGGGTATGATAATACTAATTTCTTCTGTAGAAAAACACCATTTTTAATTGGGAGGGCAGGCCAGACAGAATAGTGCTATGTTGCCAGGATGGCCTGAGTTGTAATTCTCCTGCCTGAGCCTCCTGAGTGCTGGGATTTATAGGCATTATACAATGAACCTAGGGAAGTGTTATTTTTTAAAAACATGCATATGGGGCTGGGAAGGTGTCTCAGTGGTAGAGCACTTGCCTTGCTTGCATGAGGCCCTGGGTTCGATTCCTCAGCACCACATAAGCAAAAAGAAAAAAGCCGGAAGTGGCTCTGTGGCTCAAGTGGTAGAACGCTAGCCTTGAGCTGAAAAGCTGAGGCACAGTGCCCAGGCCCATAGTTCAGGCCCCATGACTGGATCCCCCCTTAAAAAAAATGATTTGTTTGCCAGGAGCTGGTGGTTTATGCCTTATAGTCCTAGCTACTTAGTAGGTTGAAATCTGAGGATCATGGTCAAAGCTGGCCTGGGCAGGAAAGTCCATGAGACTCTTATGTCCAGTTAACTACCAAAAAAAAAAAAAGCCAGAAGTAGAGCTGTGGCTCAAGTGGTAGAATGCTAGTCTTGAGCGGAAAAGCTCAGGGACAGCGCTCAGGCCTGAGTTCAAGCCCCAGGACTCATTCTCTCTCACAAACACATACACACATATACAAATATATGTTTATATATGTTTAATGAAAACAGTTTAGATTAACAAATATGAATTGAATAATGAAAATTCTATCTAGATATCTTCTTTCCCAATTTCTCTCCCCCATAGCAGCTATTAAAGAGCAGACCATCTTTGCTTGCATAAGTATATCAGTGTCCTTGGCTTTTTAATACAAAGACAACCTACCATGTCTTCAGATGGAGATATGCAGATCTCAGCCTTTTGAATAGCTAGGATTATGGGCCTGTACCACTGGCACCTAGCCACTTCACACACACACACACACACACACACACACACACACACACACACACACACACACACACACACACTGTTCATATATATGTCTCTCTCTATATATGAGATACTTCCCTATCCCAGGGCTTAAATTCAGGGCATGGGCACTGTCCCTAAGCTTTTTTTTTTTTTTTTTTTGCTCAAGGCTAGCACTCCTGAGTGACAGCACCACTTCTGGCTTTTTCTGTTTATGTGGTACTGAGGAATTGAGCCCAGGGCTTCATGCATACTAGACAAGTACTCTACCACTAAGCCAGATTCCCAGCCCTCAACACCTTTTCAAATGGTTCCTTACTTGACTTTTTAGGCTACATGCTCTCTTACTTCAAACCTCTTGTTGGCCCCTTTGTTCCTCCTCAACCTCTGACCACTTTACCCCTTTGGCTCCACCCTTGACCTTTACCTCTGCTCACATCCTGTGATCTCATCCAGTCTTGTGGCTCTCAGCAACATCTCTACAGTGACTGCTCCCGATTTTTATCTCCAGCCTGAGTCAGTGAACTACAGCCTGTTTTATCAAACTGTGTGCTTGATGTTTACATTGGTTATCTAGCAACTGTCTCATACCCAACCTGTCCAAGACAGAACTCCTAACTTAAGCTTGAGCTTCCCCCCGCAAAAGGTGTACCAAGTCTTACCGGTCTCAACTGTGGACAACTTCTTTCCTTCCAGGTATGGAGGCCAGGATGCTCATATGCACACACTTCATTTCGCCCTGTGCCTCCTACAGCAAATGCCACTGGCTGTTCTTTCCAGCTCTCCCCATTGTCCATAGCCCTCACCACTTACTTGCTACCACCTGTGGTGGCTCGCTGGCTTACACAGTAGCCCTCTAAGGAGTTCCTCCACCTCACCCCAGAGGTCTGCTTTACGTGCTTGTACACCTTGATCATACTTGTACTCAGATGTCACCTTTGTGTGGTCTACCCCTAATTCCCATCCAACCCTTCACTATAGGACCAGAGGCATGGCTCAAATGGTAGAGTACCAGCCATGAGCACACAAGCTGAGCAAGAGTACACGGCCCTGAGTATAAGCCCCAGTAACAGGAAAACACACACACACACACACACACACACACACACACACACACACACACACACAACCCTCAAATCTTCACCATTAATCCCTCAAAATGTTATCTTTCTTCTACAGAGCTCAGAGAAAAGTGACTAGCCTGAGCTGAGAAGAGCTGGACTAAGATCCCCAAGCCAAGTCTTTCTGAAGTCATACTGTTCCTCCTGTTCCACTGAGTGACACCAGTACACTGACCCTGCTTCTGTCCCCTTCACAAAACTGTTAAGACCTGTGTGTGTGTGTGTGCGCACGCGAGCGCACTTGCGAATGTGTGCGCGTGAGTGAGCGCCTGCTAGTCCTGGGGCTTGAACTCAGAGCCTGGACACTGTCCCTGAACTTTTTTGCTCAGGGTTGGCACTCTACCACTTGAGCAACAGCACCAGATATTTTTGTGCTTTATTGGAGATGAGAATCACACAGGCTTTTCTGCCTGAGCTGGCTTCTGTGATTCTCAGCTCTCAGCCACTGAGTAGCTAGAAGTACAGGCATGAGCCAGCCACCTGTACCTAGTGTATAGACACCTATTCATACTCCCACATCCAATGCCAAAGTGTCAAATCCCTTAGCTAAGCAGATCAGGGTACCTGCTTCCTTTTCTTCATATTCTCATTGCACATTTCAAATCAATGCCTGTATTTTTTTTTCTGGGACCTCAGCCTCAGTTACTTCTGAACCCCAGTGCTCAGCAGATCTCTGCCATACTCTTGGCCCCCTGCTTTTGTTGAATGAGTGAAAGGCTCCAGGTAGCCTCCTGTGTTACCCAGCGTCACAGCTCCCTGCTCCAAGCACACTGGAGCACTTGAAGACTATGCCTGTGTAAGAAATTTTCTGTTAACTTCAACCAAAAAGTGTTTATTGTTGCCTCCTGACTTCTTTTTTCCTTCCTGGCTTCCATTTGCTTCATCAGCCCTGGGATGATGTTGCGCTATCTCCCCCAGAAACAGCATTCCTAAGGCACAGAGCTCATCTTAATGCTGTTCCCTCATTCCCTCGTAGAGTCCAGTGGCCTAGGATGACAGCCTCTGGTTCACTGGAGAGCTCTGTCTCTGATAAACTGGCATCCTTTTTACACTCTACCCGTTTTTTTTTCCCATTAAAGAAAAAAAAAAAAAGATGTGAATAAAAGATGGCAAAGAAGGGGACAGTCTGTAGTAGGAGAAAGACTGAGCCTCCCCTCTGACTAGAGGGGGAAAAAACAACCATAGAGAAAAGTGGGTATTTATAGCCAAGGAGTAGACTTGGGGACCTGTGCATGGAAAATTACCAAGTGGAAACCTCAGGACTCCCAGGATTCTGGCTCAGCGGACTAACAGGATTTTTACTGTAGGGAGGCCTTCCAGGATGATCGGATCCAAGGTGATGGGATACCATAGGTGGTGAACTTCCCTGGCTCAGCAGGATTCTCTATAAAACTGGCCTAAGAGGGCCAAGGACAGAGCCCAAGGTCAAGATCAAGAGGCAGAAAGACTCAGAGGAGCTAGACTCCAGCCAGATCAAGGACGTCTTTGTCATTTCCTAACACTTGGTCCTTTCATTTCTGCCCTCTCCCACCTCCATATCTCAAAGCCGTCAAAATCTCCCTTATTCCCTTAAGACCACCGTAAAGGTCTCCCTTGAAACTTTCTTGAGCCCTGCCTCGGGAACCCTGGGCCTGGGGAGGGACAAGGACGCCGCCCCATGCCTGGAGCTCTCTGAGGACAGGCATGCCGAGTCTGGCGTCCACTTCTAGCCCAGCACCCGCCTTAGGAAAGGCTCTTGCGGGGGATGCCCTGCTCATCCTTGCTGCCTCCAAGCCCCATCTCCTCCTCCCTGGGTCAGAGTGTGAGTCGGTGGTCATCTTCCCAGGCCAGGGCTGGCTCGCTTCCTTCACCGAGGAGAGGCGGTGTCGCCGGGCCGCGGCGGCGGCGATGGATTGCCTTGGGGGTGGGGTGGGGGCTCAGTCCCGCTGGGGATCCGGAGGTGCTCCGAGGAACGAAGGTCAGCGGCCCCGCCACCCCCAAATGACAGTCACGATGTCCCCCCACTGCCCGCCTCGGTCAGGGCCAAGCCACTCGGTAAGGGCCGCCTAAACGACACCCACCCAGCACGCTCCACCGCGCCACAGACGAGCGCCCAATTACCAGGGCCGGCGCGGCGCCTTTAAGAGGCGGCGGCGCTGCCCCCTGGCGGCTGCCCGCGCCGGCTCGGCCGCCCGGCGGGCTCCCGCGGCGGCCCGGTGCGCCGGGCCCGGGTGTGCGCGGGGGGCTGCGCGCGAGGACGCGGCGGGTGAGGACCGCGGGCGGGGAAGGGGGGCCGCGTGCGCCCCGCGGCGCCCCTGCGCGCCTGGAAGGCTCACGCCCGGCTCGGAACGGCCGAACGCGGCGCAAGCCTGGAGGGTGGGGACCCCGCGCGGGCGGGCAGGGAGGCGACCGGGGCTCGGGCGGCGCGTGGCCGCCTCCGCCGCGGGAGGGCGTGCGGGACGGGAGGGCGTGCGGGGCGGTGCCCGCGGAGGCCCGGCCCCCCTCCCCGGGGCCCCGGCGCAGCCCGCGGGTCCGGCGGGCGGACTGGCGGGCGCCGAGTCCCGCGAGCGGCGGGGGCGGCCCAGCCCGCGCGGCCCGGCCAGTGGCGCGCGGCGCCGAGCCTTCCTCCCCGCCCGGCCCCGCCCCGCCCCGCCGAGGCCCCGCCCCGCCCTGACCACGCCCCCGGCCCCGCCCCGCCGCCCCTCCCGGCAGGACCGCGCGCCGGAGCCCGCTCCGCGTCCCCGCCACCGGAGGAGGTTCCCGCACGCTCGCGGCGCGCGCCGGCCCCGCTCTCGGCCTGTGGGCGATTTCCTCCGGACCCAGACTCCCCGCCCGAGGAGGAAGATGCAGACCTTCCTGAAAGGGAAGAGGGTTGGCTACTGGCTGAGCGAGAAGAAAATCAAGAAGCTCAATTTCCAGGCCTTCGCCGAGCTGTGCAGGTAAGGAGGGACCCGGCGCCGGCACCCGGGGACCCCCGGCCCGCGCCCGGCGCAGCCCCTGCGGCGGCTGGGGACGCGAGAGCCAAACGGGAAGGAGCGGTGCGCAGGGAGGCTGCTTCCGAGCCGCGAGGTGGTCGTGGGGCCACAGGCTGTGCCCGAGGAAATCCGCGGCCAGCGTGGGCGATGGGCTCGGACCGACGCACTCAGGTGCACCGTGGCCCGCCCACGAGCTCCCCCAGCCGCCCTGGACGCGGTGGGAGCGCGGCTGGGGTTGACGGTGGGACCCGGGAGGCTGGGGAGCCCACGCTGCCTGCCAGGGGCTTAAAGGTACTTTTGGACCGGCGGTTTTTCCTCTTCTGCCTCCTTTCCCTTTAGTGGAGAAGGGTGCCGGCGTGTGTGGAGCACCTACTACGCGCCCCTCCTGTGCTCAGCCCCTCACGCTGTCATTGCATGACACCCATTTAAGCACAGTCGAGGCGAGGAGCTGTACTTGGCTTGTGTGTGTTGATTTGCTGTCTCATTAGAGCTTCGCAGTAGCCTTGCGAATGGGCCGGGGTGGTGATTCGGGGCCACGTGTCTGAGAAGAGGGGCTCATCAGCAAGAGGGGTGGGGTACCTCGCCTGGGAGTGGTGCAGAGGGTACTGGATAAATACATGGATAATGGGGTACAATGGTCTTCGGGGCTGGGCTCCCCCTTCTCACTGTGTTGGAGGCTTTCATAGATCTGATTCTTAATCAAATACAGAAGCAGCACCGAGTCTCGGGTCAGGTGTGCTTGCCTTGCTCCACAACTGACTTGCCTCTGAAAAGCTCTCCAATATGCCCCCTCTCCGTGAGTGCCTGAGAACCGGCCCCTGCGAACTCCTGGTGCAACCCTCTTGCTATGCAGCCTCCACTTGATAGATTTTTGAAGAGGGGCCCCACTTGCATTTTTGTCCCTGGTGGAGTCCCCAGATCAGTTGGATTTTCTTAGCCTTGTTGCAGAGGGCAAGTGGTAATCTGAAGTGGCACACACACAGGCAGGCCTGGCAGGGAGCTCCCCAGTTCCCCTCCTGGCTCTCCACAGGTGCACGAGGAGCAGAGGCTCGGTTGGTCCTGCACCCCTTGGTCCCTGTGTGGGTTTGGCTGCCGTCTCCCAGACAGGCTTCTTAGGAAAAAGCAGGCTTTTCATAGTCAGTAGGGTGTGCAGCGTGGCCCAGAATTCACAAGGAAATGAGAAGGAATGTACTCGCAGAGTTTTGAAAAACCCAGGGCTTTTGGAACATTAAAAAAGGATATTGAACATTATACTGTGTATATACACACTTGTGGAAAGGGTGAAGAAATTTGGAGAAGCCCTTGGGCATGTTCTGAAAGTCCAGTTCTGACGTGAGGCACTGGAGCTCCCCCTGCTGTATAGAAGACTTGGGAAAGCCCAGATAATCCCTTGCATGCTTTTTACTGATTGCTGTCTGTGTCATCCAGTGTCTACAGCCCAAACTTGAGGCTTGTCCTTGGCTTGGTATGCCTTAAAACAGCCCTAGCCAAGTCCCAGAGCTGGGTCCTCATCCCAGACCTATAGATTGGCTTGTCCTTCTTGTGGACCTCTCTGCTTTTAAGGGGCTGGGGGGCTCAGGACAGCCCTTGTTGTCAATTGATCTAGGAGAAATCAGAAGCCTTTCTTTGGAAGGGTTGTTGAGTTTAAGATCTAGTTGCCTTCCTCTGCCAAAGTATTGCTTCAAAGAGGAGGCAGAAGGTCTCTGGGTCATTCTAGAACCCCAGGGCGCCCACTTTGTGTTTTCTTTGGCAAAGCTTTAGATGTTTTGTTGCTTAAGCTTAAGAAGGAAAAGAAAACACCAAAGAGTTTCTCAGTTGTTTCCTTATTACTTCCAGGGCAGTGCCCCCTAGTGGCCGCGTCTCTGTTCTTGCTGCAAACGCACCAACTGTTGGTGACCTGAACCTTTGCTGTTGTTTTGTTGGGTGTGAATACCCATGTGATTTTAGCAGCCCCAGAGACATTCTAGATGGACATTGTCATTTTTGATGTTCAGAATATAGGTCTGAAATGCTTTTTTATTAGAAGAATGGGGAATTGTCTGTGAATTCTGTAGTGAAAAAAGCCAGGGATGTTGGGAAATGACTTGAACTCTGCTCCGAATGTTTGGGGCAGTATTAGTTCCAGAGAGAATTGCTTGGCTGGAATGGGAGGAGATGTTTAGTTGGATGTAAGACCTTGTGAAAATGTTTCCTCAACCAGGAAGAGACCATCTCACCTAGCCTTGTCTGGGGCAGGCTCCAGACTTCTCCTTTCTGTGAGTCTACTCCAGGGACCTTGAGACTTGCTCAGAGAGCAAAGCCTGCCCTCAGCAGAAGGCACCCTTGCTCTCCTTATCTTCCCCCAGAATCCAGCTGCTGCTACTTTGTCCCCAGAGACACTTTCCTTACAAGGCTGAGCTGTGCCCTCTGCAAGTGTAATGATGCCCTTGTTCTCTGAGGGAGCAGTTGCTTCTCAGTCACTTCAGTACTGGAACTAAGTCCTGAGAAGTGCCCCACCTACCTTAGGCTGGTAGGAGAGCCAGGCCTTTTCAATGTTTGTTCTAGTAGGATGGGGCCTCTGGCTAGCAGCAGATGGGCCTTTGAATCAGCTTGTGATAACTATTTGTTCCTGTTCCTCCTGTGTCTTCCCCTCTTCTAGGGATGTGGCTCTGGTTGAGTTCACTTGCCCCTCCTATCTTTCCGCTCTGCCCCTCACCTTGGAGTGACTTTGCGGCTCTGTCACCTCCTCTCTGGGTGGCTTGTTTCACTGTGCCCAGAGGGGAGTGGGAGAGGCTAAAGCATAGGTAGAAAATACTGGATGGCTTCATGTGAATTTTACATTTAATTCTCAGTTCCTTGCTGCTGAATAGCTGCCAGCTCCTGTGTGCATCCATTTTTGTGCATTTCGTCTAGCTCATCTTCTCTTACCTGCAGGAAGACCTATATAAGAGAGGCATGTGGCTTTGTGAAGCAGTTTGATATAAGATGTGGGTAAATGTTATCTTTTTCTTTTCCTTTTTTTTTTTTTGCTAGTCCAGGGGCTTGAACTCTGGGCCTAGGAGTTGTCCCTAAGCTCCTTTTACTCAAGAATAGCACTCTATAACTTGAGCTACAACACCACTTCCAGCTTTTTCTGTGATTCATTGGTGATAAGAGTCTTACAGACTTTCCTGCTAAGGCTGACTTAGAACCATGATCATCAGATCTCAGCCTCCTGAGTAGCTAGGATTACAGGATTGAGCCACCAGTGCTTGGCTAAAGTAATTTTTATTTTTTATTTTTGGTAATACTGAAGTTTGAACTCAGGGCCTTGTGCTTTCTAGGCAGTATTAAGTGGTCTTGAACCACTACATTAGCCCTTTTTGTATTAGTTTCTTTTTCTTTCCTTTTCTTTTTTCTTTTCTTTCTTTTTTTTTGCACAGAGCTGGGGACCGAACATAAGGCCTTGCACTTGCCAGGCAAGTGCTCTTCCACTAAGGTAAATCCCCAACCCCCCATCAGCTTTTTTTTTTTTTTTGGTCTGTCAGTCATGGGGTCTGAAACAGGCCTGGGCACTATCCCTCAGCTCTTTAGCTCAAGGCTAGTGCTCTACCCATTGAGCCACAGCGCTACTTCCAATTTTCTGGTGGTTAGTTGGAGATAAGAGTCTCAGAGACTTTCTTGCCTGGGTTGGCTTTGAACTGTGATCCTCAGATCTCAGCCTCCTGAGTAGCTAGGATTACAGGCATGAGCCACCAGCTCCCAGCTCTTGCAAACTTTTTTTAGTCCCTGGCTGGCCTTGAACCAAGATCTCATGATCTCCACTTCTCAAATAGGGAGTGTTACAGGGCTTGAGGTTTGGTGCCCAGCTTTTACTCTTGCTTTTGGTGAGATGCTTGTATTTACCTCATCTCAGGACAGTGATAGAGGAAACTGAGGTTCAGGGAATGTAGAGCACAGCAAAGCTATTAGAGTGTTTCCCTGAGTTCAGGCTCAGGGTCTTTCCACCTGTGTACATAGCCTCCTTGTTAAGTGTCTTCCTTGCTCAGTTAAGCCAGACATTCGTGGAGGTTTCTGAAGGTTCTTGGCCTTGAGAAACCTGGAGTCCAGCTGGACCCACTCAGCTTGTGGGAAACGTGCTCGGGCCATTCTCGGATCACATTACTGCTGTGTCTTTACCTCCAGGTACCCTTCATACATTTCCTGGAAGAGACCAGGAGTTGTCTATGCTCACATTTATCAAGCACCTTCTAGAGTCCAGGCCTGGTGTTAGGTTGTCTGTTGTTTGGGGTGTAGCTAGGATCCCCTGCCCTCATGGGGCTGAGAGTTTTGTGTGGATGATAAACAGGCCCTGGAGGCATGCCAGGGAGAGAAGGTGCCACTGGGCTTGTCCCTTCTCCTAGGGTTCGACTTTTTTGTTTTGTTTTGTTTTTTAGATATAGTCTTACTATATATCCTAGATTGGCCTTGAACTTGATCCTCCTGCCTCAGCCTCCCGTCTGCTGAGATTATAGTTAGGTACTACCATGCCTGGTAGTGCTCTTTCTTTCTCTGGATGTGCTATGGATAGACTCAAGATGTGGTACATGCTAGGTACTATACATGCTAGGGTTCAGTCCTTTTTCTGCTTTTGAAACAGGGCCATCTCAAGTGTTGCTTTTTGCTGGGATGATAACATTCTGGGCTGGAATTTTTATAGAAGATTTTGCTGAAGGAAGTAGAATTGAATGATAGTGTCCTATGGGGTTGGCTTTTTTTTTTTTTTTCATTTCAGTGGCTGGATTTGCCCCTATTTTGTATCTGCAGAGGAGGGAGGAGTCAAGACCTAGGCTTGCTTTGCACATAGGGGTATCCACGACCCAGCCTTGCAAATCAACCTCGCAAGCAAGGTCTGTGAGGCATGCTACTTGACCACCTTGCTGAGGTGGAGAGATTGTAGAGTTGAACCTCAGGTCTGTGGGCTTACTACAGAGGGGCCTATCCTTAACACACAGCCCTGAATCTGA